AATGTAGAACTAAATAAATGTACGGGACTAAATAAATGTACGGAACTAAATATATGCAGAACTAAATAAATGTAGAACTAAATAAATGTAGGACTAAATAGATGTAGGGTTAGGTTACATGTAGTTAAAGCTGAGTTCAGTAAAAGGTATATCAGGAGACTTGAATGAATTGTTTACCTCACACGAGACACATTTTGACAAAACCTAACTAAAATGTAGCCCTTTAAACTAAAGATTTGCTAAAAACTAGACTTTTATCTAGTTTAAAAGAAAAGTAAATATAAAAGCACGTCTTACCTCATTAATTCGAAATCTTCGTTGCAACTGAGAGAACAATTTGAATGCTGCGCCTCATATATGAAAACCATTTTAAATTCCAACGAGATTTTGAAACAATGAGCCAGTTGATAGTTTAAGAATCGTTTTCAGTGCGCATACGATTTTATCCCAAATTTCTCAGCTTCCTTTGTCGAAACCTTTATTTGTTCTTAATTAACAAAAGAAGGTGGAAATTCGTGATACTGAATCGCATGCAAACTGGTGCATGCACTACCCCATGCACTATCCTTTTTTGAGTTCAGTCATTTTGAAGATTTGATCTAAACTAATGCTTACGAAAATAAATATTTTCTACGCGTAAATATAAAAGCAGCTCTTTACTCATTCGAAGTCTTCGCAGAAGAGGGAAACATTTGAATGCTGCGCCTTGTTAACAAGACCACTTAAATTCCAACAAGACGTTGAGACAATGAGCCTTTGATAGTTTAAGAATCGTTTTCAGTGCGCATGCGATTTTATCCCGAAGTTCTCACCTTCCGTCGTCGAAACCTTCTTTTGTTCTTAATCAAACAAAAGAAGGTGGAAACTCGGTTTAAAAGCGCATTCACAATGAAACGATTCTTAAACTGTGGACTGACTTATGGGGAGGGGGGTTGGGAGTGTGCTTCACATACCAATACTTCATATATTCATTCCTAACCTTTCCGGGAGGGAAGGGGGGGGGGGGGGGGTACTACCACCCCAACTCGGGTAGGGGTTTTGCCGCCAGGACCTCAAAACCCTGACCCTATCCCAGACCTAAAATTTTGATTTTACATACCCTACCCCACTGAGACTAAAACCAAGAATAGTACACCCTATCCCAGACTAAAAGACGGAAAAGACGGTTTTTCAACAGATTGCAATCAACATTCACCAACGTTTTTATTGTTTTTGTGCCGGCGGAAAGCGTAGCCTATTCTCCAGACAGAAATGAACAAATCGTTAACCTGCCAATCCCAGACTAAAATGATACACTTTCCCAGACAAAATGTCAAAAAATGATACCCTACCCTAGACCCAAAAGCCGAAAAACCATACCCTAGGGCGGCACATACCCGTATAGCAAATATAGGGGAGTACCCCACCAGGGTAACCTTTGTACCGAGCGATAATCGCGAGTATATGAAACACTGCCTGGTGGACAGCCGCTAGACCAGCATTTTATTTACAAACGTGGGCTGATAACTACTAATTTCATCAGTTTGAACTTTATCATTAATAGGATAAGATTAGGTAATAAATATTTAACAATTATTCGCCGAAGGCGAAGTGAATATCGGGGAATATATACCGAGACGCGAGTTTTGCAGTCTTGTCAGTGTGCAAAACTCGCCATCGAAAGAACTTCTGTTATAATACTTGTTGTGATTGTTGTTTCAATGATACTCTACTAAGATTCTAATTTCTTTAAAAACAAAATATTGAAGACAAGAGTGATTTGTTTGAAATGCAAGTTAGTGTAAATTAATTCATTTACAGTGTAAAAAACCTGTCATTAACAGCTTTGTGTAGATAGTGAAGGCATTTAATTTGAGAAAGAAAAAATACTACTCAACATGTAATAGTGAAGTAAACAAAAAGAAAACAATGGAATTAGGCCAGGGTCTTCTGATGTGTATTATTCTAATATTTATTTCACGCGTGTAATGACTTCACTCTATGGGCTAGGAACACCAACTGTAATTAAAGTATTTTTTACTTACCCAAAAGTTACATTTTATTCTTTATTTATCTTATTCTTTCTTTCATGCCTTTTCCTTAATTTTCTCCCTTTTCCTCTTCTTTTTCACTATATATTCGATCTCACCTAACCTCGCCCCACCCTCTCCCCTTGGGGTTAATATTTAGCAAAGCTTGCAAGGCCCCTTGGGACAGGCACACAGGCGTTCGTCATTTTCCAAGATGGAGGTTCACAGAATAAGATCTGCTTCCGGCCGCTCAACTGGTCGAGAAGTCGAAGAATGGAAGATGGCAAGAGACTGGATGCTTAAGGTGGATATTCTACTACCAAGTAAAGCAGCTGATATTAATTCTACATTATTTGATTTTGCACAATCCCTTCGTGATGGTGTCTTGTTGTGTCAACTGGCCAATGCCCTCGAACCAGGAGCTGTCAAGGATATCAACACTAAATCTCAAATGTCTCAGGTACAACAAACTATTAAAGCGTACAAAAATACCTAAACATGACCACGAAAGCCTCTTTAGACAGAAAAACATTTCTATGAAGCGTGTCAAGTTGTACACATATTTTTCCTGTAGTGTCTGTCTCAACAGAGCTTCAAAAATAAACAAGATCCTTGGCTTTGGATCCAGCGCTGCTACAAGTCCAACTTAACTTTCATTCTCTTTTCCTCGTTTTAGTTCATGTGTTTAAAGAACATCCGGAGTTTCTTGATGGCCTGTACTCAAAATTTTTGTATCACTAATGATGATCTTTTCGATGCAATTGGGCTGTACGATGTCTCTGACTTCGCAAAGGTAAAGTGAATCGATATCGCACACCAGTATTTCTTGACCCTTTCTTCAAGGCGTTTACTCTAAATTGAAGTATAATGTAGTAACACATCAAAAAACGTTTTTGATATAAAAAATCATAATTAGTCTGTTGTCGTTTCGTACGTTTACAACTCACTCATTTTCCTACAAATGAACTTGGTGTTCACACTATTTCGTCTTTTTCGACGTTGCAATTGCTTACTATTTAGCGGTTAGTCCTCTAGCACGAATGGGCTATGTTGACTCATAGGCTATGAGGGCAAGAGGTCAATCCAACTAGTCGGTTAAATATTTAGATGCAAACAAGTCTTTAATTAAAGTTAAATTCAATATTTTGGCTTTCAAAGCCGCCACTTTTCACTACTACTAGGCTTAACTTATAGCCTACTAGTAGCTCATCCAATCAGAATGCAGAATTTTTGATAAAAAGCTAGTTGGATTTGACTAATAACTATTATCTCTATCTTATTACAACCCTTTTTAGTCAAGTTACATACATTTATCAAAACGTTAACAGCAGTGTAGACAGGACTCTTCCTTTGGGGAGGGGAGGTGGAGGAGGGGGTGTAAGTCAAACTTATTGTGAGACTACATAGATATCATACATAGTTGAAAACATGGTGGCCGAGTGGTCGGTGGTTTGGGCTTTGGGTCAACAGGCCTGGGTTTGAGTAGTGTCCTTGAGCAAGATGCTTTACTTCGGCTCTGTCTCACTTCACCCAGGTGTATAAATGGGTACCAACAAATTTTTAGGGTATCCTGATGTGTTCAGGGTAACGTGAGATGGACTAGCATCCTATTCAGGGGGAGTAGCAATACTCCTATTTGCTTAATGCTATAGAAACCAGGTTAAGTGCCCACCATATGGGATTCATGGCTCAAGAGTGACTTTACTTTTGACTTTTATTTTGCTTGAAATAGAAAAAAACTGTAGCCTGCCATAGTAAAGGAGCATGCTAAAAGGAGGTCATTCCAGTAAATTTTGCATGTCATTTTATTATTCATTTGGCAGTGTATCATTATTTTCACCTGCAAAACTTGAAATTTGGCCATTGCCAGGCCGCTTTTTCGAGCCCTGACTGGGCTCCCTGGCCATGCTCCTAGTAAAGCATTTTGCAAGTTTAGATTCATTTCAAGGTTCATTTCAAAAGATAAATTTCAATTTTTTTAGGTTGTACACACATTATCCAAACTGTCCAATACACCTCAGGCACTGAGCAGAAAAGTAGAGTAAGTGGCAATAGAACTTAATTTGTTGTAAAACAGTTAATAAGTAGACTACTACGAGTGGCTAAAGTAATCAATCGTTATGGAATAACTGTTTCAGTAATAAATCTCACAGGTTTCATCTCACATCACAATAGATTGGGTAGAGTGCTTTGCAAGGGCACATACCATGCACACACACTTTCTAGAACAATATTTCTATCCAAAATAACGCCTATTTTAATTATATTTTATGAGAGACATAAAAAGGGTGTTTGCTGTGGAATGTTTTTAAAGACCCCACCCCCAAAAAATGCAATTTTATTCCATACAAACTCAGTAATTTTGTTCTTTCTCTGACCCCCCATACCTCTGAAATTTCAGATTCCTCTGTGGGGGAGGGGGAGGGGTATGGATAATTTCTGGAACTACACATTGTCTGAACATTAACAATTACACATTGTCTGAAATGAGAACAACCTATAGGGCTAAACACCATGATGGGTCATCAGACAATGTCTGGCCAGAATCTGAACTTTGTCTGGTCAAATCTTTGCCTTAATTGTCTTATTGCTTGAGCCACAAACATTGTATGACTCAGCTAAAACTTATTTGGCAGTTCAGTTTTTATTTGGCAGTTCAGTTTCTATTTGGCAGGCAGTATTTTTAAACCTCTCCCATATTAATGAATAATAATAGTAATTTTAACTTATTTGTGTTTGTTGTTTTAAAGGCCTTTTGCCCCCTCTCATCTTGCTCACGATAATGTAGAAATGCATGAAGAAGAAGATATTTATTCCAATCTTGAAGAAATTGCTTTGTAAGTACTGTTGCTTTCACCTAAGCGGAAACACTTCTAGAGAAAACCGCCACTAATTGGGGGCGGTACGTTAACTTTTGATGACTAAAGTTTGAAGTTTGGCGCCTCAAACTTTGATGTTTTCACATGTAAACATTAGCGGTGTCCAAGAGTGAAATGTTAAAGTGCAAATGAACCCTTCGACAATACTTTCAGTTTAGTAATTCTACATAAAGTAAATAGTTGAATGGTAAAATATTTCTTGATTTGAGTGATGCGTCTCTAAGTTATAAAGGTTTATACTTCCAATATGCTTATAAGTGTGACGTCTATTAAGGCTTACTAAAAAATATACAAAATTGAACTGGTTCATAGAAACGGTATTTAAAAAGCATCATTATTTTACTCATGTTTTACATGAAAGCAATTTTGAATTTGTATTTTCAAAATGGCCAGCATTTGGTATTACTAGTTACAATAAAAACACTCAAATACCTTACCTGACGTCATCATCATTAACATATTGGAAGTATAACCCTTCATAACTTAGAGACGCATCACTCAAATCAAGAAATATTATACCATTTAACTATTTACTTTATGCAGAACCAGTACTGAAAGTATTGTCGAAGGGTTCATTTGCACTTTAAAAGTTTGCGCCAAATTCCGAATAATTATGATTCATACAAACATTTATGGTCGAAAATTTTCATTCAGATGCAGCGTTACCTAGATGGTTTAGGTATAAAGCGGTGGAAAAGTCCAATACGAGAAATTTTTAGTATGCAATTGCGAGTTCAGCCATTCACAGTTTCAAAGTGGTTAAAAATATCGAGAAACAGGCAACATAGATCCATTACCAAGTAAATTATCATTTGACGATAAAGTATTATTGGAAACTATTTCAGACCAAGGGATTAACTTCTATTCAGGAAAATTATTCAGAACAATTGATTGATTTTGCTGACTGTGGAGGACTGTCTAACACCACAATATCAAGAAATATATATGAAGAGTTTGAAGCGCCAAACGTCAACCTTTGAGGCGCCAAAAGTTAACTTACCGCCCTTAATTAGTGGCGGTTTTCTTTAGAAGTGTTTCAGCTTAGGTGAAAGCGACGGTAATACATATTAATCTTATTCAGTGCTTAAAAGTTTTATTCAGCACGTAAAACTGTAGCAATATATGCTGTGTTACATTATCAGTATCAACTCATAATTCTATTTCATTTATAACCTTGATAAAAAGCAAGATCACTTCCCTAGATGCCCTTTTGATGGGTGTTTGTTAATTGTTGGTGGTTTGACAGTTTGTCTGCTGTCTTACAGCTAATAAGCAGCACGCCAGCAGTAGCCTGTTTGTCAATCATGTAAAAGTAGGCCATGTAAATTATGGTTAACTCAAGACAAGATACAAGGGATAAATTTAAAAGCAATTTATCTTTGTTTTTTATTTATTGCCCTTCATTAAAACCAGCAAAGGTACAAACTAAAACATCAAATATGTGTTTTAAATAATACCAAATAAAAATTCTAGAAAATGAGAAGCATTCAAGCCAATTATGCATGTTAATAGGCAAATACTTGTTTTCCTGGCCATTATACTTACCAATTTTTGATGGCCTTTTGTCTGCTACATGGCCATTCAATGGCTGTTTGTTGACTGACTGTTGCCATTTTATGTTTACATTTTTCTTTTAAAACAGTGAAATTTCAACTGACAAATGTCCATCAGCATATGAGATTCTGTTCTTCCAGTTTACCATTTTTAGATACTATTGTTCTTTTAACAACACAACTTAATGCTCAACAGGAGAAGAGACATAACAGATGAAGAAAATCCTTATGATTCAGTGAATATAGAAGAAGATGATAAAATATATGAAGATCTTTTATCAATACAAAATATACCAGTAGGTGAACTTTATTGTTTTCAGTTTCTGGTTATTACAGTTATTTGTTCCAAAAAATAAAATGTCATGATGACTTTAAAACATACTAAGAAATTAATATTAGTTTAAACTTGTTGATAGTAGATTAGATTTGGCATACAATAGGTGCTTGGTCAGTGGGAGTTGCATGGTATTAAGGTGGCTTGATACAATAATTTTGAAGCACGACTCCTCTACTTGTATTGCAAACTGCAGGGCACCAGATATACCTTGGCCAAATATCAGTTTATACTAAGTGTAGGGATAGATGGAAGTTTTAAATCATGTGTATTTCGTGACCATCAGACACACTCTGAAGGCACAGTGACATAGGTGTATCGCCTTGAATAGAGCCAGACTTTCAGGGTTTCCTTTGTTTGTTTTGTTATGCAGCTCTCTTGTTTTTAAAACTTCACATGTTGAACATTCCATTACACTTGAATATCATTAAACACATGAATTACTACTGAACAATCTCTGAGCAAAATAAATTCAAGTGATTGAATAGTATAAAAAGCGAGACGGTCAAATATAAAACTAAGCATTTGTTCATGGGATGGAAGAGTAAAAAGTGTCAAAGGTCTGCTTGGCTCTGAATCTTTCTGACCTTGAAGACTACCATAGTATGTTTCAGCTAGTGAACTCCGTTTCTCTGGGTCTGGTCAGATTAAGCCACAAAATAGATTTAAAAAATTATCACATGACGTCACCGTGCCTTCAGGGTGTGTCCAATGGTCACAAAATACACAGGATTTTAAACATCCATCTATCCCTACACTTAGTATAAACTCATTTGGCCTAGGTATATCTTGTGCTGCGCAGTTTGCAATACAAGTAGATTAGTCGTGCTTCAAAATTATTGTATTGAGCCACCTTGAATACTGTTGCTTAGGAAGGGAGAGGAGGGGAGCATGATTCTGTTTGAGTTTAAAGTAGTGAGCAATCAATTTTTAGCATGCATCACAATATAGCAGGGAGCAATAGCTGTACCAAGTACAATAATAGATCATTTTCTCAAGGTTGCATGCACATCTAACTTGATGGGCCACAAAACTGAAAAATGCAAATTCAGTAAAATTAAGAAGACAGTTTTATATTTAAAGATGAGTATGATCGATTTGATAAATTTTTATGATTTTTATGAAATATATGATAATTCTCATTATTATATGACCGTGAATCTTAGAGCCTGGACACTAGCAAATCGAGCAATCTGATTGGATAGATCTCATCACAGACTGGTCTAGATTCTCCGGTATTAACCAGTCCGATCGCATATTAATCTTACGGCGAAAGCATTTTGTTCTTTTCAATGAAAAGTGGTCATATAATAAAACTCTTATCAACCAAGCTTGGTCGGTCTGTACGGGATTATCTTGACCTCGGTCAGGTACAGACCTCGGTCAAGATTATCCCGTACAGACCTCCCGCTTGGTTAATAAGATCTAATTATAAAGCTCCTGTTCTGGTATCGTGGCCCTTCAAGTTCCTTAAATTTGGATGCCACTCAACCTTAAGAAAATGGTCTATTGTTTACCAACTAACAAAGGTCATCTAGTGCTTATATGATAATGCCAAATGAGGGGAAATACCCCTCATGTTGCGGTTGTGTTCATTTATGTAAGCAAATAACTGTCAACTTGTAAGTCCAGCAAATCATGAACAAGGCTCAAGTGGAGGTCTAGTAACTGAGTCTTACCTTGCCTATAATATTACATTTAACGACATTATAATCAGCATAATGTGTCCTTGTAAGTCTCATATGAGACTTGGTTGCTCAGTGTTTAGAGCATGGCACCTGAATCACCAGGGCATAGGTTCAAATCCCATTCAAGACTCAGAATTTTTTCTGAGTCTTATAATTAGCAGCTGCATATTAAGTTTCTTGATATACTACGCAGATCAGCTCAATTAGACATATTATAACCGCAGTACAAATGTGTAGTTTATTTCTCATATACATACATTATAATTATAGAACCTTTAAATCTGAATATTTTTATAATTATCTATAAGGTCAACTTTAGATTATTCACCTTTTGATTCTGTTTAAAGAAACCAACAAGACAGTCATCACAAGAGGAGAAAAGAAAATATGTCATATCTGAACTTTTAGAAACAGAAAAGGGATACGTAGAAGCATTGCGGATGATAGTAATGGTTGGTAAAATAAAAGATCAAAAGAGACAAGAATTTTTTGCTATTCACTGCACTGTCTTGTCAATGAATAGCCACTCATAATTTACATACGCTACAAAAATACAGATCAATAAACCATTCTTTTGCTGATATTAGCACCCACATCATTTACTTTACAACCAAAGTGGAATCATTAGTGGGGTACATTATAAGCTATACATGGATGTGTTGCAGGGTATGGTTTTCACAACATTGGTCTTAGGTATACCATTTACATAATGTGGTTAGTTCAACTCTGTACATGTTATTTACTGCTATTCGTGTTTGAGTTTAGACTGTCAACATTTTCCAATTTCAATTTTGTGGTCCAAGCAATAGCAGTATCCATTTGCTTGACTATGACTTGAGGAGGACTCTGAAATGCTGTAAATTTCCTTCTTTTCAGACATTTATTTACAACCCTAAACTCAAAGTTATGCTGCACCCTCATGATAAAGGAATAATATTTATCAATATAGAGGTAAGGGATTATGCTAAAGACTAAGGGATTATCGATAGAAAGGAGAAATTAGCAATTAAATTATTTGCAATTTATTTTGGTAAATTAATGAATGGATGAATAAATGAATGGTTGGTTTGGTGTAGGTGGATGGATTAATAAATGAATTTATGGCAAAATGGTTTAAGTAATAAATGGATGGACAGGTAGGAGGGTGAGTGTATTAGTAAATGAATGGATGGATGGCTCAGTGAATGAGTGTATGAAAGAGTGGATGGATTATTTATGATTTATGATTTATGATTTATATAGCGCCCTTTAATATTATGTGGATATAATCAAAGGCGCTTTACATGAGTTGTGAATGACAGATTGATTTATGCAATTTACAAGCATGAGAGATGGTTAGTATGAAGTGTAGGCACTGAGGGTGGTCATTGCCAGGCTTTCTTTTTACGTCCTCAGTGGTTCTTTTATGTCCCCCATTTTCACTGTAGGTTAGGAAGGGTTAGGAGACAGGGCCTATGGTTTAAAGTCCTTGTCCGAGAAGACTTGAAGGTCTAACCATTTGCAGATATTATTACAAAGGCAGCACCTTCTCCTCAGTTATTTTAAGACCCTGAGTGTTGGTCCAGCTGAGGCTTGAACCACGACCTCCCGCACAACAGACCGATACTCTTACCAACTGAGCTAACCGGGTGGCGGTAAATATGGATTGATAGGTCATTGGAAGGAAGGATTGGTGGATGGATGGGTGGAAGGGTGGATGGATAGATAGATGGATGGCTTTTTTGGATGGGTGGGAGGTTGGATGGATGGATTGGTAGATAGATGGGTTGGTGTGAGGGTGTGTAAGAGTGGGAGGGTGGATAGGTTTATTGATGGATGGGTGGGAGGGTGAGTGGATAGATGGATTGGTGGATGGATGTATTGGTCTACCTAGGGGCAGTAGCTCTAATATATGAAATTTAAATAATACAAACAGTTTGAAGAGTACAAGTAAATAATTACTATCTATAATTTACTAATTAAAACAAGTATATTAAACAATTAGTTACTTGTTGGTAAGTGGGTTGGAGGTTGGATGGATGGGTAAGTGGGAGGGTGGATGGATGGGTAAGTGGGAGGTTGGGTGGATGGGTAAGTGGGAGGTTGGATGGATGGGTAAGTGGGAGGGTGGATGGATGGGTAAGTGAGAGGTTGGATGGATGGGTAAGTGGGAGGGTGGATGGATTGGTAAGTGGGAGGGTGGATGGATGGGGGATGTATGGTTGGATTGGTTGATGGATGTNCTCAGTTATTTTAAGACCCTGAGTGTTGGTCCAGCTGAGGCTTGAACCACGACCTCCCGCACAACAGACCGATACTCTTACCAACTGAGCTAACCGGGTGGCGGTAAATATGGATTGATAGGTCATTGGAAGGAAGGATTGGTGGATGGATGGGTGGAAGGGTGGATGGATAGATAGATGGATGGCTTTTTTGGATGGGTGGGAGGTTGGATGGATGGATTGGTAGATAGATGGGTTGGTGTGAGGGTGTGTAAGAGTGGGAGGGTGGATAGGTTTATTGATGGATGGGTGGGAGGGTGAGTGGATAGATGGATTGGTGGATGGATGTATTGGTCTACCTAGGGGCAGTAGCTCTAATATATGAAATTTAAATAATACAAACAGTTTGAAGAGTACAAGTAAATAATTACTATCTATAATTTACTAATTAAAACAAGTATATTAAACAATTAGTTACTTGTTGGTAAGTGGGTTGGAGGTTGGATGGATGGGTAAGTGGGAGGGTGGATGGATGGGTAAGTGAGAGGTTGGATGGATGGGTAAGTGGGAGGGTGGATGGATGGGTAAGTGGGAGGTTGGATGGATGGGTAAGTGGGAGGGTGGATGGATTGGTAAGTGGGAGGGTGGATGGATGGGGGATGTATGGTTGGATTGGTTGATGGATGTAGAACTAATGCCACAAAATAAATCATTTGTTTTTCAAGATTCTATTGTTTTATATCTAGGAACTTCAAACAATACATGTCAAGTTCTTAGCTAGATTAGAAAGAGCTTGCAATAATGAAGTAGGAGCTAACATTGGTAAAGTTTTTATTGATGCTGTAAGTAATCTTGGCATACTCAACCATTTATGAGCAAACTTTTATTTCATGAATTAAAGCTAATTTTAAAAATAACTATTGTACAGTTGTAAACACATTTAATGTTCTGTTCCTGTTACTTCAGTAACTGTTGTTGTAAATATCACCTATTTCTTTCATTTATTTATTCCTTTGTTCATCATTCCCTCCTTCCTTCCTTTCTTCCTTCATTTATCTATTCATTCATCAATTGATCGATTATGGGTAATTAATTAATCATGAAAGTTATCAATATAATTAACTTACAGAAAGATGATTTTTTAAAATATGGTAATTATTGTGCAAGAATGCCAGATGCTCAAACCCATGTAAGTGTTTTTTGTTTGTTTCATGTTTGGTGTTTTATGCATTATGTGGCATGCAATCCTGGTTATATATATTTAGTTTGTTCAATGTGCTTGATACACAGTTTTTATGCACAAGTGAAAAAGCAAGTGAATAAAAGCTGTGTTTTCTGTTTATTATGTAATTACATACTGAGATTTTCAATTTGGTTTTAATTAAAACATTTCAGTTTACAAAATTAAACTGAAAAATCATTCATGGGCTATTTTACTTTCATTGATATTCGAAAACGCTGTCTTACAAGCATAATAAAAAGCCTATCTGAATGACTTTTTGACATTCGAACTATCAAATTAAAGTAATATTCTCAACCTCTAGGCTCTATCTGCTGAAACTAGGTTTATTTTACATGGAAAACGATAGAGAAAGCTTACTGAATATAATTTTTTTATTAAACTTGCCTAATTCTTCCAACAAAAATAGTGTCTTTCCTCATTTCTGTCATATAATTATTTCTTTTCTTGAAAGTATTTTAGAAACTTTTCAAAAGATTTAACAGCTTTTCTTTAACTTGGATTAACAGCTTTTCTTTAACTTTGCAAGTTGTATTTCTCTTTGGCTTTGTTTTTGGTTGTGATTGGTCCGGAACAGTGAACTGAAACAGGTTTTTAGCGAGTAAATCACAGTATGCATATAATAAATACCATTCCATTTTTGGTCAACCTTTATTTGGGCACAGTTTTTATCTCAAACATTATATGATTACAGATTGATGAGTTGTCAAGGAGAGATGCAAAAATCAAAGATACTTTAGAGGTACATTTTACACTTTAATGAGGCATTCTTGAAGTAAGAACTCTGAATTTTTTTTAAAAGTTAAATTCTAGAGTGGCCCTTTATTGCTCCACTCCACACCCACCCTACTAATCCCCCTCACACACAGACCCTAGTACATGTGAAGTTCAAAAACGAAAGTATATTGTCATGTGCTGTTCTGTTCTGTTGCACTCATTCCTCTGGCAGATAATATATGCATTTGCCTATCATTCCCTAGTTGTTGTTACAGCATGATCAGTTCTCTGATGTGTAATTTCTCTTTTATTATTGAACAGGATTGCCAAAGGAGAGCAAAAAGCAAATTTTCATTGAGGTCTTTGTTAGTAGTTCCATTTCAGAGAGTACTCAAGTACCCACTGTTGATACAGGTACATACGTCTCACATCAAACCTGCCTCTTCTTACCACTCACTTCCTACAAGATCCATTATCATATGTAATATTTACCTCTATCCTATTAAACCTATCATCATCATCTTCAACTAATACAACTCTCTTACCATACTAATAATAATCATCATCTCAATGTTGTTCATCGTTTACTCTAAGATGAAGGACCATCATGGGTACACACATCTTTTTTAAGCATGAGTTTAATTTGGGTGCATGTGTTCATGGTGATGATGTCATCTGAATGTTTTGATCAGCAAAAATTAATGTCAAGAAAACAAGTTGGGATCTTTTGTCTTAATATTCACTTACTAGTTTGCTATTTGTTTGTTAATGACAATATTATTAAATAAATTTAGCATCTACTGAAAGAAACCAAGGGAAATCATCCTGACAAAGCAATGCTTGAGAAGGCTCAAGAGTGTATTCAGGTAGAACAATTTATATCAGGTATTTCTAAAGCAATTTGCACTGGATCAGGTATTTTCATATATTGATTATAAAATGATATAATTAAGAATTTCTTCCTATAGTGCTTAACTTTCCATAATGATGCTATTATTTTTGTCTATATGTGAAAGAACCAAAAATCACAGTATTAAACAAATGTTTAAGGTAAAAAATTCTAACAGCAGTTTGAACTGTCTATCTACAATTAATGACAAATCCTTCTTATCTTAGGATGTTGCTACTTTCATTAATCAAGTAAAACGTGATGATGAAAATCAGAAAACTGTTAGGGACATCCAAAATAGGTAATTACAAGTTTATTACTACTGGTCACTGTGTACTTTATTACTATTTAAATAAAGTTGTCATTATTGTTGTACTATTCTCATCTTTCTATCTTTCCATTCTCAAGCTTGACAAGTGAAGTGGTAAGTGCAGATAAATAATTATGTATATTATATTGCAAACATTGACACACTTATGCCTACAAATTTGTATATTCAAATTAAATTGTGTTTAAAATTTTTATAACTAGCTTTCATTATATTGTTAATTTATATTTTGCAAGGGCGAAGACCTGGAGAAGTTTGGTAGATTGATGAAAGATGGCGAAGTTCAAGTAAAAATTGGTGATCGACCTCCAAAGAAAAGGTGTGTTATTATGTAATATTTTATTTTCATTTAGTAGATAGGAAACCTATATAATTGAGACTTTTCCATTTGTTGTACTTAAAAGTCACTAGCTAGAAACATTCCAGTTGTGATGGTTTTAAATGAAAAATTTTACTTGTAGTGCACCTACAATACCCAGGGCTTTCAATAATATTTGAAGTAGATGGATGAAACTCAAAAGTACACGTCTGTTTCCACAAATTTTACTTCTTATTTATTAAGACTGATTCGCAAAATAGCCGGCGGTATGAAGGTAAGTACCCGGCGATAAACCGCTGGTAGCCGCCTTCTATTGAAACCCCTGAATACCTCATTTTTATTCAACCTTTTTTTTTCAGACACGCATTCTTGTTTGACAGAGCACTGATCATTTGTAAACACAAGGTAATATCAACTACTAACTACACTGTATCTTCCTTATCTAAAGTTTGACGTTGTTGTTGTTGTTGTTGTTGTGTAAAACGAAATGCATTCCATTGTACTTCATGTTCCAATAAACATGTATGACTGCTCTTATTTCAGTGTTAATGATATTTATTTTGTTTTTCATGTAGGGAGACACATACCACCACAAGGCAACACTTTTCTTGGATTATTTTGAATTACAGGAAAATTATACTTTTGGTCCTGGAAGAGGAAAGGTAATCATTTATAAAACTACATTATTCCATTTCTGGTCAGACATTGGAGCAAGAGAAAAGATGCCAAGCTGAAATAAGAAAAATAACCATCCTGCTTTTCAATATTTGTAGTTTCTTCATGGCTGGAGTATGAAAGGGGAAACCCCAGAGTCAGGTATTGTATCCTTATACACCATCATTTGAAATATACTCACAACAGACAGATGGACAGATGGACAGATGGACAGATGGATGGACAGAAATTAAAATCATTATGAGATAGATCAAAGTCAGAGCACAGCTAACTTAAAAATGAATTAAAATTGGAATTTGTTACGTTTTGAGAAGGAATGAAAACTGGAGAACCTAGTTAAGAAACCTAGTTAACAAACTCTGCTCTCATGTGAATCAAACCCCAGACCCAAAGGGGAGAGGCATTACACTACTTCTACACCAAACTTGATTCTTTTCAACTCCAAAAGGGTTGGAAGGGTCCCAGAAAATAATACATAATTTTCTGTATGGAACTTACCATGCTATTGAAGAGATGGATAGTGTTTTAAGACTAACACATTTAGGCTACGAGTGGCAAAAAAATATATAATAAAATAGGTTAGAATAATGTGTTTTTTTTTCACTGAACTTAGTTTATTTTTTCTCTAGAGAGGAATTCATGCTCCTTGTATGCAAAGACATTAGACATGAAGGACAAATGGGTTAATGAAATAAAGCGGGCAATGTAAGTTTGATTGAATTTTTCAATGTATTCTTGAATTCGTTGTGTTCAAAAGGTTGAGTGCTACATGGATCACTAATAATTCAATTTGTGAGATCACTCCAGCCAGTATGATATAAAACCTTAAAATATTTATATAAAAAATATTCTCATTCCTTAATAGGGATAACCTCAAACTACCTGGAATAGATCAAAGTAAGTGAACTCAAGGAAAAGCTTCTAATTAAGTTGCATTAAATGGACATTTAGATTATAAAATTATAAATTATAATAGATTAAATTATCATTTTTTCTTATGTAGGAAAACACAAGTTTGATTTATATACTTTTGGAAATGCAACTTACTGCAGTATCTGTCAGAAACTTTTATGGTAAAGTCTTATATTTAATATATACTGAGTTATAAGTTAGGATTAACTTCATAAATAACAGCCATTTTTTTAATCCTTAGGGGATTAATTCATCAAGGATACAAGTGCTCTAGTAAGTACTCTCTCTGATATTGTTATGAGAAGCATGGGTAGTGTAAGAGACTAAGGCTGGTGATCAATTTTCTGAGTAGGCTCTTTAAGAATAATGATGATGATGGTGTAGTAAGGGTAGGGGTATTTGATGGTAAGGAAGGGATGTTGATAATGATGGGTGTACTAAGGGGAGGGGCATTTGATGGTAAGGAAGGGGTGTTGATAGTGATGATGGATGTACTAAGGATAGGGGTATTTGATGGTAAGGAAGGGATGTTGATAATAATGATGATGTTGTAGTAAGGATAGGGGAATCTTATAGTACCAAGACTGATGTTTATGATGATGATGGGTGTACAGTGGTAAGGGGAGGGGTATTTGATAATAATGTTGATTATAATGATGTTGATAGTGAGTTAAATTGATCAGCTGGGAAGGGCTGTTAATAATGTTAGGTGTGCTGATGTTGGATTATGTTACTACTTAGGATAAAAATGATATTTTAATGTGGATAAAAGGATGTGAATGGTGGTGGTGATGATGATGATAATTTTTTTATAGGATGTGATACAGCCTGCCACAAGGACTGTATCACTAAATGCAATCCCTGCAGAAAAAATACCCAAGACAAACAGTTTTCAGGAATTTCACCTTTCCAGCCCATGCGTCCAGGTATGGGCAAAGGAGCAATTTCAGGAGGACAAACATTAAGCCCAGAACCTGAAAGAAGACCACGGAAGATCTCAGCACCTCCTCGTATTGGTGTAGCAGGTATTTAAGGCCCCATCCACATGTACTGTATCAGGAAATGTTTGTACCCGAAAACATTTTTTTGCGGATACGAAAATGTTCGCATTTTTGAATCATTTTCGAATCGTTTTTGCTGTCCTGACACATATCCGGAAATTTCTTGATTTCACTGATGATGCTAGTGCCTAGTCCTTTAATAAATAGTTTTTCTCATTGAGCATGTGCAAAATCGTGTTTACATCAGCGTATTCGAAAATTTGCGCATACGACCGTACACACATGTCCGTATTTGAGCATATTCAAAAATTTCCACTCTATTGACTGTTTTCAAAAATTTCCAGATACGGATACAAAAATTTCCGGACACGTGTGGACGCTACGCTTATCTACAAAGAAAATTTGCAAAGACACAAATTTCCGGATTTGTGTGGACCGGGCCCTAGGGCATGAAAAGTAATACTATTTGATATAAAAATCATCATTAAAAATGGACCAAATCAACTTGAGTGTAATATATCCATTTCAGAACACCTTATTCCCTTATGAATATATATTCTTTGTTTGAGTTGTATCCATTATTTGTCTTAAAGTATGAGAAAACATTACTCCCAGGCAAGTGAATTTGGTCCATTAACTTAAATTACCATTTAAATACCTTTAGGTTGGTATGATAAATCTTTCTTTTACAGCTGTATATTATACACATATTATTACATACATGCATGACCAGCGGATGTTGCTAATAGCTATTGTATCTTTCTAATAAAAATGTATTTCATTTTCTATTGATCACCAAAATGACTTCCAGGTTCTTTGAGAATGCTTGCAAACTATCTAATGAGTATCTGCATGCTCCCCATTACACCGTGAAAGGATATATTAATATATCTTCTTAATATATGCAATTAATATATATTATTATTAATAATATATATTTGTTATAACATACTTTAAGTAAGGATTCTTGCTTTTCCATTCTATTTACTCTCATTTTCTTAACATTTCTATGAATAAATTAAGGCTCTAACAATACTTGCACATGATAAGCTAAAATAATGTTTGGATGTTTGTAGGGTAACTGGCAAAAGTCTTTAAAATCAAAATAAACCTGCATTTACTTCTTTCTTTATGATTATAAGGAATCTTTCATAGGGTTGTATATTTTAATTCTCCCCTCTTCCTCATCTAAAAGGTAATTCCTCCTTATAATTCCTTATAGTAACATAGTGATGATAATGATTATAACGATAGAGTAAGATATATATAGTTCTAAGTACATTTTTATCTTGGAAAAGTGTGGACATCCTCTGTTAAAAATTTGTGCAGTGACAGCTGACAATCTCATATCACCTAGCTAACAAGATGCTTAGTACTGGTAATTGAAATACTCTTAGTAACTCTACTATAATCCTATATGACAAATTTCCACTTTAAAAGTAACATTGAAGATTGACATTCTCTAGATACGTGATAATAAGACACCAATACACACAGTTTTCACTCCTGGATATTCCTCCATCTTTTAGCATCTTAAGGATATTTCCAGGAAAGTTGGTGGTCAAAAACATATATTTGGTTTTACTTATTTTTTGTTTTTCTTCATTTCCATTTTGTTTGTATTGTTGTTATTGTGAGTCATTACTAATCCAAATGTTATTGCTCTCCTCCTTTTGACATATTATTTCATTTATTTTCTTACGACTGCCATATTTAACTTTCATGGTTTATTGTATTAATTATAAATATTGCCGTGTTATAATATGTTATTTTGATTTCCTACGGTGCCATCCTATAAACCCCTTGCATGTGACATCAAAGCGGCTCGATCTGGGGGACAAAACAAAGGATTTCCAATCTCCTGAGGATTGGAACCTATTGTTTTGTCCCCCAGATTGAGCTACATTCCAAAGTGCTGCAAGGGGTCTACTGTCCACTCTGTTACCATTCATGATCATCCTTCACATTTGCAAAAATAGGGACAATGTACTTCATAATGAAAATTCACACGACATGAAGGGCTAGCTGAACTTATCTGAGAGGTTTCTTGACACAGCACTTGACACACCTGCGCATCATATTAATTTTCATGGACATGTCACAGGACAGCAAGATTGTGCCAGTCATAATAATACTCAGACATAATAATCACATCTTCATAGTTTACCCTATTGTCCTCATCATCACTACCCCTACCATCATTGTTACCACCAATGTCCTCTTTAAATTTTTATATAAATCACAAACATGATGAAATCTTTTCCTTGCTAATATTGCATTTTATTGATAATTATTATTGCTTAGATGTTATTTGTCATAACCAAATAGTGGGGCAAAACAGGGTGATAAATGGTTTCCTTCATGCAAACGACATTTAAATCTTCCTGAAATTGAAAGCTACCTTGTTATCATTAGATTTCTCCAGCAAACCAGCAACTTTAGTAAAGCAGTTTTCTACACCAACATCTCCTACTGACTGGCTACATTCGAGGGACAGACCCCCATACAAGAGTACGTAAATTGCAGCTTAAAAACTAAATCAGTGTGCTAAAACAACTACAGTCTTAAATCCCAGGAGTTTGCGATTTCTCAGGGAATAGTAAGATCTAAAGTAATAACTCCAGTTTGCATGTGGTTTCCCAGTTAATAACCAAACACTGTTGAATCTGTTCACTGTAGGTAGATATACTTCCTTGTAGCCTGCATGTTAACTTTTTTCCCCTAGTATGGACTATTCAAATATTTCCCAGTGGTGAGAAGGTGGTTGAATTGAGACTGATAAAAAGTAGGAGTAGGGGAACATCTGCTTTTGATAATATAGTGATTTTATTATACTGAACGACAGCTAGACATGCTCAGTTAAATTATATCCTATAAAATGTTCAGTTGAATTATATTCTAGTCTATTTGATGAGTGGGTTGTTTAAATCCATGTCTAGACTGACATATCATTATACGCTAACATTGAATAAGAAATATTAAATAAATAAATACTAACTTGTAATTATTGTCCAAATGAATGTGGAAAATAAACAAGTGAACAAGAAACAATCAAAAATGGAAAAGCAGGAATTATTTTTTAGTAGAAAAATATAATCAAATTTTTTTGCATTTTTTCCCTTCTTTCAGCCAATGACATAGTTATAGCCACATCGAAGTAAGTATCAACTAAAATTGTTGTTACTAACCATGCTGCAAAGGGGAAAACTTTTAAACATTGTTTGGCTTGCTTTAGTTTTCAGGGAATGGCTCCCGGTGGCAGACCAAGTCTTAACCTTGCTGTTGGTGATGAAGTAGAAGTAATGAACCAGTCTGATCCAGAATGGTGGGAAGTATGTCAATATTTAGCATTATATTGATAGTATCTTTAGCTCCAACACCAGAAAAATTTTGATAGTCGTTTTGGCATAATGTTGTCTGACAGTTGTTTTTCTCCTCAGGGACGATCATCTCGAACTGGTTCTGTGGGATATTTCCTGCGAAGTCATGTTGCTGAAAAGGAAGAAAATACTGACAGAAATAGAAGGAAAAGCCAGGTAGGTACAGTATTTAGAATGTGAATGGATAGGAAACAAAACTGTGATAGTAGCCATGCCTCAATTGATACTGTGTTTTATGGCTTTCAGAGATCTTCAAAACGTGGTCATAAGTATGAGGAACATACCTTAATGGAAGAGTGAGTGAATGATCTTTAAATGTGTATCATTACAGCAAGAGAAAATAAATTAAGATATGAGCAATCTCTTGTATGTAGGCTTGCAATAGCCATGATTGAGCACAGTCTATTTGATGCTATTTTTGAATCACTCATTTGATCATATTTTTTCTGCACATGCAGACTGCGCACACGCATTTTCTCTCCTGCATTCTGCATTTCCAATGTCATTTTTGATATCAACCTTTGTATGTTAGTTAATATAAGACAAATGTGCTTCAAAACAGATTAGATTAAGTTATTTCTTGATGTTTCTGGTAGGACTCCAGAAAATATTTCGGCTGCACCTGAGGATATGAATGCAGAATTATTGCAGTATGCCTGGTAAGACTTCTTTGTTAATAAATATCTATTTGTTTTTGCTGGCCATACCTGGCTGCTGGCATGCTGTCTGATGATTCAAAGATTGGTAGTGACACCTTTTCACTCAGTTATCAAACCAGTGTGTCGCCACCATTTTTCTCACTCCAAGTTTTGGAATTGACTCCATACTTTTTACCAGGTTTGTTGGTAAGATGGATCGTGCAACTGCTGAAAGAGAATTAAGTCAAAGGTCTGACGGAACTTTCTTGGTGAGGGAAAGTGTTAACCGTGAGGGTGAATATGCATTAAGTGTTAGGTAGGTGTTAAATTATATATTATTTGCATGTATGTTCATAACTATTAGTAAATTCCAAAAGAGTGAGCCTTTATATATTCAAAATTACTTGTAATTGTAAACAAAATGAAGACTAA